AAGTATGTGTCCGAAAGGGAGCAGGAGGAAGCAAACACAAAAATATACAAAAAATATACTGCATATTAAAGCAAACGATTGTAAAGGTAAAAGTATGAGCATAACAAATAAAGAAGTGTAATGTAAACATTTACATTATTATTATGATTATTTAATATATAAAGACTATATATTAATGATTTACAAGATTAGATATACTTTAGTTGATCTAAAATATTGATGTGTTCAAATGCTCTTCAAAACACAACTGAAAGTCCATGAAAGTTGTCTTTCTGTATTTGTGAATGAAGCTCCATCTCCTGGTTAAAACCTGAAATTGAAAATCTGGCAACGCCCTCTTGGAAAATAGTGGGAGGGCTTAACATTCCTCGATACTGGTCTTCGGCAGGTCGTAGGCAGGAAGCTGTAAACTGGAGTCTGAAATTAGGTGCTACATCTGTAAAATGCATGATCTGTTTAGTATTTTGAAAAATAAAAAGTATAAATATGCCTTATATAGGTATGGTCCTACACTATATTATTCAAATATAGCATGATAGGTTCACTTTAAAGTAATCTCAGCCAGTATACAACACATTGAATCATCTAAGATGATGAATGAATGCCTTTGCACTGAGGTATTCCATCAGGCATGTATCAAATATCTAAATGATCTCCAAGAAGTATTTTAGCTACACACCAGTCAGTGGTTTAATGTGCATTCATCTTGAACATGTGTAATATGAAAGCCGACCATAGTCAGTTTTTGCAATAACTGTCAGTGTGCACCAGAGGGAGCTCCACTAACTGAGGACTGCACAGCAGCATGCTGGGAAAACATGGAAGGGCTTAAAAAGCTACTTTGCTGTAAAGGACAAAAGACAACAAAAGTTACACAATGAGAGGGTTTTGTTTAGTAAACATTCTGGCTTGATGGACCTTAGATTAGAAAATATATCTAAAAAGGTACTGCGGCAAATTACTACCTAATTCAAGTATATTATAATATTGTCTGAAAATCTCAATTTATTCTAGTAATACTCAAATGAATATATCAACATTCTTTTACTACTGAGATAAGATTAGTAGTAGGATGCCAGTTTTTCTTAGCAAGAATTTTTCTGAGTTATGATGACTAAACTGTCAAGAAAAATGTATTGACAATTAAAAGGAAGTTATAATTTTGCTGCAGGTCCGACCAGGATGTGGAGCTTCTGCCAATGAACGCTGGAGTTTCCTACAGACTTCAACAGGAGGAGGAAGCTGAACCTCAGCCGGCCAGCAGTGAGTGTCGTGTTCAAATGTTATGTTTATTACATGAAGGGTATCGCACAATACTTAGGACACAAATCTAATCCCAAACAAATAGCATTCCAATAACCATCCACACAAAGGACAAAGCATGAATAAACATGTATATAATGTTGTTTGTGCTGCCGACACATGTTCTTTATCCCATAAAAGGTTCTATTTTTTTTTATGGATAAACTTGATAGCCCGGCACAGCATTAGCATTAGCAATGTTTGAGTCATTAAACAAACACGGTAAAATAACAAATGTACAGAATTCCTTCACGACATTTAGCCTATTTTAGATGTCAATTATTTCAAGTATATGTATATGGGTGTGTATAAGGTCTTGTAGCCCCCCCCAATGTAAACAACCTACTTCGTTTATGAATTAACGCTAATGACTAAAGTCTGAACTTTTACTAACTGTAATTCATTTAATTAATTGTGTCAAATTGTACACATGTGAACTTAGGCAAAGAATTTCCTTTATGCTGGTATTTGATCAAAATACATTCTCTGTTGTACTTCCTGTTTTAAGGGATTTCAGATTTCAATGTGCAGTTACTTTGAGTTTACTCCTTTGTGTTCCCTTTAGTTCCAGTGGTGGGGGTGGTCCAGATGTTGCAGGCGCTCGGCGGCAGCATGCTGGACAGTCTGAAGGAAGTCCTGGTGGAGAGGGAAACACTCACCCTGGGGAAGGAGCTCGGCAAAGGTCAGTTCATGATGACTCAGCAACAATTATCGAGACTTTGAATGCAGGGCCACCATTTGCAAACTGGAAACAGGGTGAATAATACTGTGGATGTCTCCCACACTTCCTACAGTTCAGTGTTAAAGCAGCCTAGTTCACTTTCACACAGGAGAGCAGAGTCCCACATCCAGCAGTGAGTTCTTCCTTTGAAAAACAAAACCTTAACCACAATCTTTTTCCAAAATGTTAGAAAAGGGTTTTAGTTACTTTTTTTAAGTCATCAGTATGATTGTTTCCTACCCTGCAGCACAGATATTGTAAATGTAGAAAGGCTGCAATGAAAATAAGTTTAGTGTAATAAATAAATCGATCCACTATCATTTGAAGGGTTCAGTAGGCCAAATAAAATAAGATTGATTCTGATTTTAAGATCATGGTGATATGGTGATGGTATATTCATATATGCATATATGAAATAAATAAACCATTAATCATCACCACATTTTATTAAACGTTGCTTTTTATTGCTAAGCATATTGTCATTATGTCCACGACTTAATTGTAAGGTTGTAGTGTAAAACCTTGGTTATGTACTGTGGAAAGTTAATTAAAATGTTTTTCGATAGTAAAGAACATGGTGATAAATGTTGCAGATAGTCTAAAATATAATCTGACACTACAGATTAAAAACTGATTTCAATTCATGGTAGAAGAGAAGTCAGAACACTACCAAAGTCATGAAGATACATAATCTAGCAACCCCAAAAGTCTGAACCAAATGTTTTCCTAATCCATTTAGTAGATTTAGAAGTGTTTCAGTGAATGACTGAACACTTGAACCTTCTAATTGCACTAGAAGTGAAGCAATGTTATGGTGATCCATCCAAATGCTGTCGAATCTTCCGTTTTGAAAAAAGAAAATAAGTATTTTACTTGGGAGTAAAACTGTGTGTTAAAATCATGTGTGTTCTCCAGGAGAGTATGGATCAGTCTATGAAGGGGTCTTCTCACCAGAGGAAGGAGGGGACATGAAGGTGGCTGTGAAAACCATGAGAGGTGGGGACTGAAATTAACCCTTTATCTAAACTCAACTGTACTTCTACTTATTTTGTGTTTTTATTCTCTGTCCTACAAATCCAGTTGGAATCCACAGCCAGGAGGACTTGTATGACTTTCTGAAAGAGGCAGAGATCATGAAGACCTTTGATCACGAGAATGTGGTCAGACTCCTGGGTAAGAAACCACCTAATGTTTTCTATCGGGCTGTGATACTGTGTTTCTCCAGAAATTATTAGGACACATCCACTTCCTCTCCCGTCCCACAAACCATTGCAAGCTGGTCATGCTGGTTGTTGGTATTTGCATTGAAAGGCAGGTTCATTTAGCTAGAGGGCCGTCTTCATACACAGTTCAGAATCAGAATCAGGATATCTTTACTGTCATCATACATAGGTATAACAATATTTTGTTGGCATCCCTCACTGCAGTAATGGAAATAGCCACAAATAAATAAAAGCAGTGATAAAAGCAGAGGTAGCAGCTATGACAGTACGCTGCAATGAAATGGCACTTTGATTAAATTAAACGTCAATGTACAGTTACACATTTCACAGACTGTAACATTTAAACATACAAAGCTACAACAATTTTAATATAACTGTGTTCACAAAAAGATGCTTAAATTAACTAACGTCACATATTTCTGTTGTCTTATATAAGACACTTAGGTTAAAAACATGTTATCGATATTTAGTTTCTTTCTTGCACTGCGTTTGATGTTGACAAGTACTGAATTAATTTTCTTTATGATATATATTTAGGCTAATTTAAATCATCTTTATTTGAAATACATTTATTTTTTAATGCAGTTGATGGAAACCTGAATAAAAAAAACTACACTTTGCTTTTGATTAATGTATTAAGCTTAAACAGCATTTGTAAACTATTGCTGTTGCTACATCTTAGATATTAAATATCTTGGTCTCTTCTTTGCTAAGGTGACATTGTTACATACACTTAGAGGTGGGGTAGGTCATTTTGGAGAAATCAGCTCGAGTGCGCTAGAATTTGAAAATACACAGCCGGAAAAAATCTGCCACTTCCTTACAGAGCCCACTTTTAAGTAAAACACAAGCACAAAATTCTTTATTATTCCGCTGGGTTATTTTGTGCTGCTTCTTCTCCCACATTGAACATCGCAGAAACTCCGTTCAAACATCAAAACGTTCATGTCGGTCGGGAATCAATGGCTATTACTTTTATCATTCATAACTTTCATAATTCCAGAGATACAGCCCATAATTCATCAAGTTTTTAACATGGAAGTCAATGGAGAACTCTTCAGACTTCAACAATCTTCATGCAACTTCAACTGCTAACTGCTCCTTCTTCAACTGCTAACTGCTCCTTCATACTTTCACTCAGAAACCTCATTCTAACTTTAAAATGTTACACATCTTTCTGACATTAATCGTGTAACACAACTTTTAAATCTGATTCTTACTTTTACAGTTACGTAAACAAATATATATGTATATATATACAGAAAAAATATACTTTTCTGTATATAAACAAAAAGTGTATCTCGAGTTTCTCAAACGTACCTACCCCACCTTTAACAAACCTGTTACAAATGTGTTGTTCAACAAATTTGAGCCTTTGCCACATTTATTTGATCACAATGGAAACCTTTGATCTCTGGGCACTTTCGTTAGCTCAAATATAAACACCTGTGTCATGGAACACGATGATGTCATAACTCCAACTGACATGCTCAGAGCAGCAGACTTCAGATAACGGTTAATGGTCCTGCCCTCAACAGCTCTACGCCAAATCTGAGATCTCACCATAGGCTGTTGCCAATGGATCCCTGCCATAACACATAGATGTCGCTGTAACTCCAATGGACACGGTCCGGTCGTCCGACAATCTTCACCT